ATCTTCAGTATATTTGGGTTCCCTCACTGCCTATTGACCAGATAACTCACTTTAAAATATTATGCTGGGGTGCAGGGGGGTGGGGGCAGGCTGGAGTGATGACTCAGAGGTTAAGAGGACTGGCTGTTCTTGCAGAGGTCTCAAGTTCAGTCCCCAGCACCCAGTTGGAGGCAAACAACTTTAACTCTGGTTCCAGGGGATCCAATACCCTCTGGTCTCTGCAGGCATCACATGCAGGTAGTATACTTACATACATGCAGGCAAAACACTCATACACATAAAACAATATTTTAAACATTATGCTGCTGGTGGGTGATTTTGCTGTATTTTCAGTAAAAAATAACTTTGGAAGTTAAGTTCTATATTCAGGTTCCAGAATATTTCCCCAAGTCCCCAAGAAGTGGATGACAGTGAGCACTGGTTTATGATGTTTTCAACTGGCAGTCTAATGGGGACCTCCCTTTCTTATTTCAAAAGACCATGATTTCTTCCTGCCCAGGAAGTCCTGGCCAATAGCATCATTGCTCAGTAGGGATCATGTTAGATTTTGTGGTATCTATGTCTGTTTTCTTCACCTACTCTGCCATAGAGACACTTTGGAGGCCTTTGGATCTACTGAGGTGCACATAGGCCCTCAGGGAGCCCCAGTTTCCCTGGAGCCTCAGGGTAATCTGAAGACTACTGAGTGGTGCTGAGATAAAGGCAACTAGGTTCAAGCAGGAACTAAGGTCACATTCTGCCAATAAGGGGACTCAGCAGCTCCAAACTATGTTCTCCCAAAGGAATTTAGAGCTGTGATTGGAGCATACTTTCTATATGGCCCTAGGGTGAAGGCAGCCCCTTGTGCCCATGATGGAAGGAAGCTGGGGGGCTGAGCTCAGATTCTAGACCTCACTGTGACCCCATTTCAACCAGCGTTAATACCTTTGCTTTTATCTAAATTATAGATTGGGCTCTATATACTCAGCTGGAAAATTTGAATTTACCAGAACAGCCTTCAGGGTAAGTATCGTGAGTGATTAGAAAAGATACCCAGAGAAGTCACTTAGTAAGGCTGAGTGTAGGAGAGACAGAGAGCAGAGAGGGCCTCCAAGGGAACCTCTGAAAGGCACGTTCTAGCAACAACTTCAACACCTTCCTTTCTGAGAACATGCCTGTCTGAAGGCAGAGCTGAAGCCCTCCTGAGGATAGACAGCAGGCTGTATGAGGTATGGGAAGAGCAGGCAGACCCCCAGTTCACAACCCAGCCCATGGGACTTGAGAGAAAACAGGTCCCACGGGGCTTTCTGAAGTGGTCTGCAGTAGAGGTGCAATGTGAAGCCTCCTTTGCTAGCTAATCCTTTGAGCTTCGGAGGCTCCAGAAGAGATTCTTCCTGGAGAAGCCAAGAGAGACTGGGGATTTTAAGTAATGATGTAGGGGGTGAAAAACAGAACATGCATGTGTCATTTACAGATGAGGTGGACTTCCAAGAGAAAGAGCAAATAACATTGACTGCCAAGAATTATCATAGGAAAGCACACAGACCACACGCCCCAGAGAACAGTAAGCAGCTGCAGAAGCCAGTGATGTCCAGCACATGCTTCTGTGACTTTTCTTGTGAGGCCACAAAGGGGAGCTCTTTTTCTAGCACCTAACTATTGAGTCTCAGGGCTAAGGCTTTTATTGGCAGAGGAACCACTTACAAGGGGCACATACTCCTATGCAGCCAGACTGGGCCAGCCAAAACCAGGTCCCCAACAGTAAAATTGGGTGCACATTAATCTCACTGTGCAAAGCAGCTTGACAAACCAGTATGACGTGGTCTGTTCCTCCAGGTGAGTATAACAGAATCGTCAGCCACGAACGGGAAGAACATTCTGATTGTAACATTCCTCAGAATTGCCAAGGGTCCGCCACCAGACTTGCTGGGTTAACTCTTCACAGTAATGCGTGGATAAGCCAAGTGGGCTGGGACTTGAACAAAGTCACTGAAGTGGTAGAGGTTAAGGGCAGCTTATGCCACCAAAGGCAGATCGTGGATCAGGCACAAAAGCCTCCTTGCTGTAACTACTAATTACATCTTTTAAATCAGTCTCTAATTTTTATGGCATTGTGCTGGGTTTCTCTCACAAGCTTTTAGTAAATTCTTGCTAAAAACTGTGAGCCTTGATCTCAACTATAATAAGAAATAAAGGGCATTGATTCATTTAGCAATTATATGGAGTACCCATGTGTTATCTGCAAGACACTGTGGAGTTGAAGATAAACTCATGAAATGCCTGTTCCTATGAGGCTCACAGGGAAATTAAAGAGAAAATATGGCTTTAGGTAGGATAGAGTTGAGTCAGTCATAAAAGCATGCTGGTATTGTATGTGGAAGTGGAAATCTAAAGAAAATAGTTTTACTGTTGATATCATTGGGCTTTAAAAAAAATTGCATGAGTGTATTGCCTGCACGTATGTACGTATTTAAGTGCGCCCATATCGTGCACTGCCCTTGGAGGTCAAAAGAGGGTGTCAGATCCCCTGGAACTGGAGTTAAGGACAGTTGTTAGCCACCATGTGGGTGCTGGGAATTGAACTCAGGTCCTCTGCAAGAGCAGCCAGTGCTCTTAATCACTGAGCCATTTCTCCAGTTCCTAATTTTTTTTCCTTTTCAAATTAAAAAAAAAAATATTGTGCCGGGTGAGGTGGCACACACCTGTAGTCCCAGCACATGGGAGGCAGAGGCAGGTGGATTTGAGTTCAAGGCCAGCCTGGTCTACATAGTGAGTTCCAGGACAGCTGGGGCTACAGCTGTCTCAAAAAGACAAAAAAAAAAAATATTTTTATTATTATTTTTATGTGTATGAGAGTATTGCCTGCATGGGTGTGAGTGCACCCGTGTCGTGCAATGCCTTGGAGGTCAGAAGAGGGCTTCAGATTCCCCTGGAACTGGAGTTAAGGACAGTTCATAGCCGCCATGTGGGTGCTGGGATTTGAACCTGGGTTCTCTGCAAGAGCAGTGCTCTTAACCGCTGAGCCATCTCTCTAGCCCTCTTTTTAGATTTTTAAAAATTATTTTTATGTGTATGAGTGTATTGGCTGTGTGTGTGTGTATGTGTGTGTGTGTGTATGTGTGTGTGTGCACCCACGGTGTGCAATGCCGTGGAGGTCAGAAGTGTCAGAGCCCCTAGAACTCGAGTTGCAGATGGTCATTAGCCACCATGTGGGTACTGGGAAGTGAACCTGGATCCTCTGCAAGAGCAGCCAGTGCTCCTAACTGCTGAGCCATCTCTCCAGCCTTTTTTTATTTTAATAAAACACTTAGAGGTGATGTCTTTTTTGCCAGGAGCCACCCCACACTCCTAGGGACTAAAAGGGCTTTCCCAGGATATAGGTCCAGTGCCAAGAGTGCAACAGTCTAGCCTATAACCATCATATCCCTCCTATGAAAACTATTCTCCCAGCAGCAGAGAGATGGCTCAACCATTAAGAGCCTTGCAGGGAACCTAGGTTCAATTCCCAACACCCATGGGGTGGCTAACCAACATATAACTCCAGTTCCAGAGATCTGATGCCCTCTTCTGGTCTCTGCAGGTATTGCACGGCATGGGTGCACGTCCATGTGTGAAGGTACACATAAAAACCAAATCAATTTAAAAAGCAAAACTATTCTGCCCATCATAGAACTGGCCCCTGGCACCCGTGTTTCCACTCACCCTCCCCCACCCCCAAGGTTCCTGCTTGACTCACTCCCGGCCAACTCAGTACTGGCCAACTGGTTTACCTGGAGAAACTGAAATTGAGGCTCAGGATGACTGCACAGCTTGGGGAACCACACAACTTGACCCTGGTCTCTAGAACAAAACCAGGTTTTGATTTCTGAAAGGCCATTGATTTAACGTTTGCCCAGTTCTCTCAAGAATCCCAATCTTGACTAAGCTCTATCAGCCAATTTCCCTTAAGCTAATTTACATATAGACTTCCTTTAGCTTCTTTCCAGAAATGTAACCAAGTCATCTCTTCAGGTAAGATGTCCAACTCCAGACAAATCTTGCTAGTTTAGAACAAATGTTCCTTGGACTGGAGAGATGGCTCAGCGGTTAAGAATACTGTTCTTGCAGATCTGGGTTTGAATCCCAGCACCCACATGGCAGCTAACAACTGTCCGTAACTCCAGTTCCAGGGGACCCACAGCCTCTTCTGTCCTCCCGGGGCATTGCACAACATGGGTGCACTGACCTACATGCAGACACTACACACATACACATAAGATAAAAATATTTAAAAGCAAAAAAAAAAAAAAACGTTCCTCAAATATTCTGCAGTCTTTGTAGAATCCCTTGGGGATGGCTGGCTTACTGGTTAGTGTACTGTTTTATCTTGAGTAGATCTGCCTGCCACATATATTTCGAATTTGAAATTGGAAAATTGGCATTCTGGTTCATTTGTTATCATAGCTAACTGCAGACGGTAGGGGCCCAATGAAAACCTATCCTTAAATTGCTGCAAATTCTGCTGCATTTTCTAATCCCAGTTACTTCTTTGTCATTACGAACAGGACATGCATTAGTTTTCCAGATACCTGGAGCCTTCCCAGATGCCCCCGCTGTTCTGTGGTATCTGCTGTTTCAGCTTTGATAATTTCACTTTATAACCTGTAATATTTTAAAGCTACATCTATCTTAGTCATCTTCTAGGTTCCCAGCTTCACTCAGGAAAACCACGTTTTCACTCCGCATGGATTATCAGTTGGATCATTAAATGCCTCCTTTACTACAGCTGATTCACCAAAACTCTTCAACATCCCGAGACCTCTAAGGATCCTAAATTTGAACTGTGCATCAAGGTAGCTTTCTAAAACAAAAACCCAGATCCTGGGCTGATGCACTAGAACAGGCCACCCAATCCCACCAGCCTGGAACTTCCTTCAACTCCCCAACATGACTTTATAACTTGGAACATTCATTAAGTGCTAGGCGACGTTTACAACGCATCTGATATTGCTCATCCCATTACCCGAAAAAAATACAGCTACTCAGGATTAAGCATGTATTTATTTTAGTTCCATTAAAACAACATTGTTTCACTGAAACTGGTGTAACACTCCTTGCCAACAAGCCATACTGGAGTTGTTGGCCTGACAGTACAGCGGGATATTTATACTATGTACAGACCAAGACTCTCAAAGGTCTTTCACTACATGAGCTCACATTCAACACCGTTTTAGCATGTTGATAACTACTGCATTTTGAAATTTCAGACCTCATTTAAAACTTAAGAGATCTGAACTTGCACCAAGTTTTCATGAAAAAAATTTGATGTCCAACCAGTTTATTGCAAATACAATTTAAACAAGTATTGTAAATGTTTAGTATTTATACACAATGTCAATTTTTTATATTGAATTCTCTGTACAGGTACTTTGGGGGCTTATATATAATGTGAATTCATCAAAATGCAGTTAAGAAACTTACAGGAATATATACATTTGAACCCAAGACCCAATCCTGACACTATATACAACCTATTTACAAATACATATGGACAATGTATGTACAGTTTATCATAAATATTGAAAAATAGGTTAGCTTTAATGAATTGATGCTGCTCTATAAATAACATTACAGTCATAACTGAAACATCCACGGAAGACAGTAATGCAAAATGAGGTGACAAGACAGTGGTTTTAATACTGAAGACTGCTCATTAATGGGAATTCACTGTTTAGGAACCTCAAGGCAGGTAAGAGCTCCAAGCATTGGGATTTGGCCTAGAAATTGACTTTGAATCTTAAACAGCATCTATAAAAAGTCTGGGGACTCTCCCCATGCTGATTGGCTGTTAAGATTCTTTTCTTCACTCCTTCCTGGTTGCCATGGTAATTTTTCCAATACAAAAAGAGGTGAACTGTAGGAAACAGCTTGTTTCTCAGAATTCCTGGCTGGTCTCATCAACTCTCTCCAGGAACTGAAGCATGAGTGCAGATTCTTGGTTTGAACTACAGGTGAGGTTCTGAAATCTGAATTAAGTGAAAGCAGGCGGTAGAGTTGTCTTCACACTGCCTGTTCTAGGTGGTGGTCCCCAATGATTTCATCTTCGTAGGAACAAAAACAGACCACTGGTTTTGTCCTATGGAGCACTACAAGACGTCTTCCAGTTCTGTAAGGGTCTTTAATAGCAGAAACATCTTGCCTATAAATTTAGTCACATAGATAATACAAGAATGTGTAACGAAAACCTTGTCTCCGCATTTCTGGCCCTTGCCTCAAGCTAGAAATGCTCAGTTCAAGAGAAAACCTGAAGAACTAGATGGCCGATTGCTTCCCTCAACCACATAATGGAATTATGTCTATGAGATTTTAGACATTGTGCCTGATGAGCAAAGTACCACATTATTTAATAATATAGTCACCATACACTGTAACATACAATAAATGTGCTCTTAAAGCCAAGCGTCAATGTAAGGTTTTCATCTCTAAGTGGAACTGACATGGAAAGGTTAGCATGCCCTTGGACCAAAAACAAAGTGCAATCAAGTCGCACTGTTTTCCCTAACTAATCATTTGTTCGATGTAAACAAATAATTCTGCATTGTACAAGAATGAGATGACGATCCAGTGCAAGTCTTTTACGTGCAGTACACCGGTACTGGTGTGTAGCCTACGGATTAGACCTCTACTGCAGACAGAACACGAACACAACTAAGCCACATAGTGTCAAGTAAATCACACTTCCAGTACACGAGCATTTTGAAAAGTTGTACTCTGTAGAACAGTTTTGGCCTGTTGCCATCAAATGCCCATTTTTCACTGCTGGAAGCAATGTTTCAAAAGGGCTGGCCCCAAAACAGACCCAGAGCTGCTAACACACCTCCGGGGACAGGGCCAACTGAACGAACCCTGTTTTACCCAATTGCACTACTTGGTACCTCAAAATGAGTTTTCATTTCTCACAGAAATACCTGCACTGTTTTGCATTCTAATAGATTGAAGACCTAAATATTTTAATTTTAATGAACCAATTACCTGGGGCCAAAGAAAGTGATGAACAGAGTTCACCTGATTTGGTGCAGCAATAACCAATTATTCTTTAATGAAGTCTGAATGAAAAAAAAAAAGAAAAAAGGATGCTAATTCATGATGCAATTTTACATTATCATTTTCCCTAAAATGATTTTGGGTAAAAAAGTATTTGGCTTATAATGCCTACAAAAAAGGCAAATAATTTTATAATACTAATATTCATTTTAAAATATCAATGAAATTATTTTTACCGAGTTTATTGACAACTGGTTCTGGATAAAGTTCAAAAAAAGCAATTTCTTCAAAGTAAAATAGTGCTTCTGAGGTCTTTTAGTATTTTTGGTACAAAAAAATAAGTGTTTTTCTCAACGCTTATTTCAATACTTTGCTGAAAATTAAGAATTGTTTCTCACATCGAATGGTTCCGTTAGGCACATTCAAGTAAAATCATAAAATATCCAAGTTAAACAATGACACAGCCAAACATGTGGCTTGATAAAAGTTAAAGTTTGTCCATTCTCTGGAATGGAATAAATTGTCACTTCCCTTAACCCAAGACTCGTGGTTTTGTATCAATATCCATTCCTAACATACAGATAAGCTTCTTTTAAAAAAAAAACAAAAAGAAAGCAAAGTTCACTTATTCTGCATCCAGAAGGACCAGCGAGGAATCTGCACTTCGGAAGGAAGTGAACTGAAAACAGGTGGCATTTCATAGTCGAGTGTAGACTCAACACCAGCGGCGGCAGATGGACTATCAGTTTGATGGGGCCAATTAATGGCCGCCTGCAGAGGCATCGTGTACCCAATCCAAAACAATCAGGGCCATGCTCCCGATCATCACCACCACGCCACTCATCAGGAAGAACACAGCCTGCAGGGAGGGAGCAAGGCATCATCAGCAGGTGACCCACAGCAACACTGGCCGCCACACTGGACAGCTTTACCTGGCTGAAGGGAAACTGCTCTAAGTGGGCCCAGGAATGTTCCTCCATGGAGGAGGCTGGGAGGGGTTCAGAGGCCTCCTCCTCAGAGGGTATACAGGTAAGGCAGTTGGAGGGACACAGCAATAGACATTTTCTTCAATGACACACCGTTCATGCACCTATGAGTAATCCGTCACCCATGTCCCTGTAAGTAACCTTAATTAATAAACTCACTGGTCCAGAAGCTAGACCAGTACAGTCATTCCCTTGGTCTGCTGGTGTCCTGCCTCGGGGGAACACTTTGCTTGTCTCCCCAGGAGAAGTTCACACACCAGTCACCCCTAACCTCATTCCTCAGACCAGAGAGACTGTGGGAAGTATGACAAGCATCCCCACCATGATTCTGGTCCCAAAAGCTCATGGCTTATGATTAACTTGTCATCTTCCTTGTGACAAGACATTACCACACCTGATAATAGGTACATACTAGTGACCCAGCTGGAGGAGGCCCCAAGGACTCTGCCTAACTTGAGGATAGCCAGTCTCATTTAACTGAACACCTACCTCAACTTCCTATACCTATTGACACCTATTACAGGAGGATGGGCAATATTGTTTGAATGAATGTTTGAAGTTACTTAACAGCTCTACACTGCTCTCTACCTAGTAATTTTCTTGTGTTTAACTTAAATATTTATTTATTGCACAGTAAATGATCTTTCACCTCTCCTTCCCAACTCTGGTGTGAACTTTCATTATAGTAATGTTCACTGGAAATTTTACAGAATCTACAGAGAACATGGTGACAAGATTAAGTCAGTTGGGGAGGCTCCTGACCTGATCTGAAGTGGTCACTACTGAAGCCATGGCTGTCTTTCACTTACCCCAATCTTTTGCACAGATCTCATGGGCTCTTTCTTCACTAACTTGATGTAGAAGGCGGATGGAAGAATGAAAATCAGCATCGCAGCTGCCGATGCACCTGGGGGAACGAGCATCGTCTGAGAACTCGTCCGATCTCTTATTTTTTTAAACCTTCATATCCCAAGCATTGAAATCAAAACTTACCAATGAAGCCAAATATGTCCCTGATGGTAGGGACAAAGATGACAAGCAGATTGGTGAACGCCAAAATAGACACTGTAATCAGACTGTGACGCCACCAGCTGAAATCTTTTGCTGCACACAGTAAGTGAGTTATGGAACTCCGGATCTGCAGAAAGAAAAAAAATTTACTTATTATTTAACAATCGACTTTAATACAAAGAATTTCCAAGTAATTGAGAACATATCTACAGTAGCAATTACTTCTGGAGGAAAACAGTGCCCCGGCCCCCTGCTGTTTTCTGACTCTCTGAACATTACTCTGCTATAGGATGATCTGAAAATCTCCAATGTGTTTGGCCCCACCAAACTATCACCAGCCCGGTATTGCCGAATTTCTCTTCGAGCAGAAAATGAAAATCTCACAAATCCCCACATCTACAAAGTCAGCTGCTGCAAGAGCAGGTGATTACTTACTGGGAAAATAACTACTGGTACTGTCAGGGTGACAGCCATCAACACGGCCAACCGGACAACAAGAAGAAGAACATCAGTTTTCATGACAGAAGAGTAGGTATGAAGCAATTCTGACTCCACGTGTTCTGTGGAGAGAGACCGAAACAAAACAAAGGCGCTTTCAGTGAAATCTACACTAAAATTACTAGCTACTCACAAAACAAGAAACTAAGAGGCTAATACGATTAATTTGGAATTATCGTTAATGCAATTAAAAGACCACTGATAACATCGAAGGGGAAATTTTCCTAAATACTGAGACTTAGCCACACGGCCTTCAGTAAAAACAACAGGAGCCAAGTAGCTAAATCCCAGTTTGGCTTAGTCTGGAAGTGACAGGAGACAGGCAGCACAGGCTAATCAGCAGCAAGAACAGCACAGAAACGACTCAGCAAGAGGCTAAATCTGCTTTCGAATCTGGATCCTCAAAACTACAGATTAAAACAGACTGACTTTTCATAGTAAAACTATGCACAGAAAAGTGCCAGTGTCATTTGAATAAAGAGGAAGTTTTGTAAGCCATTATTTACCATAAAATGTCAGGTATCCAAAGAGAGCAGCGAGCAGATACATCAGAAACATGGCAAAGAAGGAAATCTTTGACACACTCATCATCCTCCTGCGGCTGCGGCTGCATAAACAAAACAGAGGGAACCGTCACCACAGACTCCAGCAATTGCAAAGCAAATCTTGATGCTTACAGTACGTTTATTAAAAAATAAAGTACCCTTTCAGCTCTTCGTAGATGGGAAGGACAGCAGGATGACAAACGAAGGAAAATGTCAGGATCGGCACAGCATAGACAGTCTGAAAGACATAAAAGTACATCACGCTACCTGTCAGTTCCCAGCTCTGCCCCACAGAATCTCCAACCTCAAGCCATTCGCTGATTCTGTGGGATCTCTCACCAAGGATGATCAGGGCCCTATTCTGAAATGTACCATTTCAACGTCATGAGATTACTTCATCTTTCTAGTTTATACTATAAACTTTCTCCAGTTCTTGATAGTTTTTTTCCTAAAAAGCCTCTATCAGTCACCTTTGTTAACCTCAAGAGGTATTTTAAAATGTCCAGGGGTTACTTTCCCTCTCTCCTTCCTTACAATGTTCTTTCCAGAAAAGAAGATTGTAGCTAGTTACCTGTGAGTTGAAGATAAAATAACGTGGTTGGCAAGAACCAGCGTTAGTCACGTTGGATGCCAGGTAAGGTGCCAAGGCTAAGGTGCTGTTCATGGTTTCATTAAGTATCGAACCATCTTCTGTAGGACAAGGGATCTGAAATTTCTTGCAAATTACCTGAAAACATATTATTGTGACTGTGTCAGCTAACTCATTTGACAAAGCCTCTAAAAAAGAACTTTTCAAAGAAAAACTATACCTACCACAATCAGAAAGAACACCATACACAACAAGGACAGACCACTGGTATATCCCAAATATCCTAAGAGGGGTAGAAGTGAGAAATGTTAGTCTAATGAACCAGGGCTAGTGCCCACAAGTGCCAAGCACAAGCTATTAAGCGCTGTCAGTGATATTCTTTGACCCCCTGGAGGCTGCGCTGCTGGGTTTTGGGGCATTAACAGTCTTCTTGCATGCTGCCACTTCCAACAGCTGAGAGCCTTTAAGCTCAGTGGTTTCTAGTAAAGAACACAGACTAGCTGGTGGGAAGCTCATCTCAGTGGCCTTTAATTTGCTCACCTAAGTTTCTCAGCAGCGACAAAGGAAGAATGAGCACCAAGGACACCAGCAGGACCAGGTAGTCCCCGTTCAGATACCAAACTCTGAGAGAGAGAACAGGAGATCAGATACATGGCCTCCAACAGACTTAGAAACGTCACAAGAATGTGTAACAAAGTCTGAAAAACCCTGTCCCTTAGTCAAGACAGGAGTGACTTTTAAACTCTGTATGCCTGGTGAATATTCATTCAGTCAGGTTAGAAACAGGGTATGAAACAATGTAACTTCAGTTTCACTGTTTGCTCTGGGAAGACTGCCAGCTGATTCAAAACATAAAATGCTTCCTAAAGCTTGATATTAATGTAGGGAACAAAGATGTTTTGTGCAGCCAGTGGGCTTATCTGTGAGTACTTTGAGAAAAACTGTATACCAACATTATAGTTTTAAGCATTTCTAATGCTGAAAAGGACATTTTACAACAGTCTTCAGACCATTTGTTAGCAAATATACCAAAATATTTCACTAAGAAAGTTTTTTTCAGACTTAGATTAAAATGCACACGCAATCCACTCTCCATCCCAAATTAGACTAAATGGAATCCTCCACTCAATCTGAACTTATTTCAGGTTATCATCGACCCTGACTCCCCAAACAGTCAAAATGTCCCTTCTGAACTTAAATGTCCCCTATGTTCTAACATTTTTTTAAAAAAAGTAATCAAGAACTATTCCTTTTTAAAATCACCATTTAAGTTCCAAGTGCCCATGAATTCCACTCCACACACGTAACAAGGACCCCATAGAAACTAATATCAAAAGATCAGCTTATTCCACTAAATTTCTAAAGGGTCAGCAGAGGCTCACAGCTCTGTGCAGGTCAGGAAGCAGTTGGCCTTTTCTGTTTGCATTAGACAGGTGCCCGCTAGTCCACTGAGATGAGTAAGTTCTAGGACTACCAGGCTTCTGCAGGGCAGCCACACACTTTCTGGCTTTCTACATGAACTGTGTTAAACATGAAGACTGACTTTCCATGTAATTCAAAGCTTCAGTCTTAAATTGAGCACATTCAACAGCTCTAACAAGTGTCACTGTAAAGGAGATAAATGCGGGTTCTAGAAAAGTTGTTTTCATATACAAGTTTCCCGTTACCTACCAAAGAGGCCCAGCTACCATCTTTAGCCTTTTCATTCTCAAAAATTCCAGTTTGTGAGGGACTTCCTTGTCAGGAATAAGCATTCTTGACAGGAATACTTATATGGGTAGTTTATTGATAATTGTTTTATATTCGACTGTGACAAAAATGTATCTGTAATTGTTTCTAAGGAGCAACCTTACTTAGCACCTACCCATTTTTATCTTCAATGTTCATTAATGCCTGGATCACCAAAGGTAATTCATATTTCACTATGAAGAGGTAGCTTGACATGGCTGGAGAAAAACAAAATTATACCATTACAAGTGCAAAATGTCGCCTGTGACACACAGTCGGGTGTCAGCACTCGCTGCTCCGAAGTGAAGTCTACCCAACATGCCCTTTAAAGATGTCTTACCTCCAATGTTCTGTATAGTAATTGACCCAGAGGCCGCTAGCTTTCCAAAAAGTCCAAATGCCTTATGTCCCAATTGTTCGTACAATAAAGATCCTACATTCAAGAACACGGAAGCACGAAGTAAGTACTTTGGAAGACAACCAATAGGTAGAAATTACTTTGGAAAACCAGAGCACTACCGTACCTCCTTCATTGGCAGTCTTCAAGAGGAGATGAACAGAATACAAGGAAAATATTGACACAAATGTCAAGAGGATTCTGAGAAAAGGAAAAGGCACACGATTATAAATAGGCAGGGACATACCTTTAAAGACAACACTTGTGTAAGTAACATCAAATGAAGCTTTCTTATCTGTGTCAAAATGTCCCCAAGAACTGGGAGCGTTCCCTCTCCTACCAACCTGAGTGTCAATGGAGAACGCTGCCTAACACTAGTACCTTGAACTTGGGTCTCAGGTGACAGTTCCGGCAGTACTAAGGGCCAGAATGTACATACTCTGCAACGCCTGAGGTGAAGCTGCAAAGCCCAAGCCCCCACCCAGTGGAGGTGGAACTTGCATTCTGACTGGTACCATAATCAGCCGTGCGCCTGCCACATGCTTTTGATAGTTCCCTTTGTTTATAAAATGTTGGCAAAACTTGCTATTAAGCCTAGCCCCTCAGGCTCTTACACAATTTTGCTGAGATGGGTCAGGAAAGGCTTCGAGATCACAGGGAGCACACAGGTAAGGAGAGGGGAAACTGGAACTAACATTTTTAAAGGTCTGACACTAAAAACTACCTCCTCTACAAACCAGTAACTTCTGCAAAGATAGGTACCATTGCCCTCCAGGGAAGAGTACAGGGCCAGCACCCTAACGCTGCTCAGTGGTCCTTCGGTGTGGGTTCAGTCAAGTTTCACTTTCCTTCCACCCAAAGAAAGCCAGAAACAACAGCAACAAAAATGCAGGAAATCTCATAGAAAACAACCACTCAAACAAGGTAGTCACATGAGTTCTGACGCCATGTGGGCAAAGTGTGCACAGTACCATGTAAGGCACTGGCAAAGAAACCTGTCTGTGCATCAAGTGCAGGAAGCAGCCCTGGGCCACCATCCAAATGCTGGGATGTTACGGTACTGGTTTCTAAGGTAACAATATAAGCTTTGCCTCGACTTGGAAAAAACAATGGCTTAATTAAAAACAAAACTAATTAGGTCTTTCTGTGTCTCACATGGGGAGGACAATAAACTTCACACCCTTTGAGGTCACTTTCAACCTCAAGACTGATTCGATTTAAAAAGGTCAACTAGCCATTTATGGCAATGGTGGCAGCATGTGGCCTTTGGCCCGTTTGCTTATATATATAAAATGTAAATACAGATGAATAAAAACTCACACAATCGATATCATTTAGCCATTTATTAAAATGGTTACTCAAATGCACATAGTAAGCTCCAATTAAAATAGAATTCCAAAAGTTCAAGAGTAACATAAGTTTTGCTTTCACTTACGAAAGTTACCATTTTATCTCAAGTTCTGAACTCCAACCCCATTGGTAGCATTTTAAAATTGTTTCCAGTTTATAAAGCCTGGACTAGGAAGGGTTTCAAATTCCCCACCCACTCAATACTAACATTCTAGGACCTTTCCTATCCAAAGTTCCTGATCCTTGATGTTGGCAAGTTAACCTCAAAAATCCTCCAGTCTAAGCAAGCTCCATTGAATCCTACTCCTAGCACTCAAAGCCAGGCTTAACCTCGGCGTGGAATTTCACAAAGCGAGGCTTTGCAAAGGTCCACTTTTCTCAAGTTTTCTATCACGCTGAAGAAAATAACTTGAGTAGAAGTGAACTAACTAAAACATATTAGTCACAAAGGACAGTTGTACCCTAAGTTCTGTGTGGTTTCTTCATCTGCTGACTTAGGTCAGAGGAGCTTCTACAGAAATTCTTAGCCAGGGTTCTACAGGCAGCTTTAAACTTACTAGCTATGACATAACACTGCAAATACATGCTTAAACTTGAATGTGCTTTTGTGTTTGGAAACAAGGACACATTTTTCTAGCTACACCTTTTTTTCCTTCTTGGTAGTACTGAGGGTTGAACCTAGAGCCTCATGCAAGCTAGGCAAGTGCTCTATGACCTGTACCTACGGCCCATCACAGCCTTCATATTCACCAAGGGCCAATGACCCCCCACCCCCCAATGGCTAAGAACTACTTCTCTAAAGTTTTCTCAAATCCTCCAAAATTCTATGGACACATAAATCCTGGAAAGCGGATGAGCAGTTAATTCTAACTGGGCGATGGGGGGGAAAGCACTTCAAAGTAGACACTCAATAACAAATTCATTTATTAATCACACAGATCAGGAAAAACATTTTAAAAAAAAACAAAAAAACCCACACATGTGAATTTGTCTTTTAGCAACCAGAAAATTATGACTCACTTGTCCTAACAAACGAGTTCTAGGCTAGATAAATATCACCACACCTTACATTCAGAATGTTCTTTTCTATATGGAAGTACAGGGCCCACAGGTCTTTCAGGAAAAGACTTTTGCCAATGTATGGAATCTATTTGGAACCACTTCACTTACTACATTTTTGGCTTCTTTCACCAAAACAAAATTTATAGTTACTCTGGACGCAATAGTTTTTTCCTTTAAACTATTAACAATACCCATTAACTTTATTTTTCTTCTTAACAATTTCCAATGATTTTTAAAAGACTGGCCTTAGTCTGTTTTAAGTGTTGCCTTATTTTTTTCTAACTGGCCTTATTGATACTGTGCAATATGTTAGTAAAAGAGTTTGGGATTTCTCATACTTTTAACTTTAAATAGTTTTAAGTCAATTAACTGTACACTCAGTTTCAGAAGCCGAAATATGTTTATCATCATATTAACTGCCCTGCATGGCAGACTCACTACTTACACATACTTACATAAAAAGAGCAATTCCCGTATTAGCCATGGCATAAGAAAGCCCAAGGATTCCACTGCCCACAATCGCATTGCTCAGATTAAATACAGACATCCCAAAGGAAGTAGTACCTGGGTGCTACAGAGAGGGAAACGATAACCAAACATATAACAAGAATTAAATGAAGAAAACCAGCTTCGGGCAAGTTAGATTTGAAATCTAAAAGTAACACTGTTCTTTGACTCCATAAAGCCAGGCACACAAATAGTATTTTCAACTTACAAAGTCTGTTTCGTATTTCTTCTTTCCCAAATTGGATTCAAGTAAAAAGTTCTGGTTTTCGGGATCCACATCTGCATAATGGCTGCAACAACAAAAAGAGTATGCAATGGTAAACGGACTGAGAGAGACAGGCGTGATGATGCTTCGGCGCCCGTGGATACGCTCTGCAGTAGTCAGTCTCTTGGGCTATTACAGGTTAACAGGCAGTCCCACAGGCTAGGAACAGGGTGACTCGGGCTGGCCCCGGGCAGCATGCTCCCACCTTTTCAGAGCTGCTTGCTTGGTGGGGTAGGAGTAGTTGAAGTCGCTATTCGAACTGTAGCTGCTGCTGTCCTCATCCGGGGAAATGCTGAACCTTCCCATCTCCGCCTTCTTCATGCTGAGCCTGGGGGGGAAACCGGGTGCAGCCGGCGGCGCGGGGCTCCTTTTGTCCTTGGCGGTGCACTGGCCCTGAGGCCGCCTGCGAAGGTAGAAGGCGGCGCGTTAGCACCGCAGCGCCCGCCCGCTGCCGATCACGTGACCTCGCGGCTGATTCATCCCCCGCCAGGCGAGTGGAAAAGTACCAGCCGAGCGCGAGGGGCGGGGGCGCTGCGAGGGGCGGAAAAGTACAGACGGCGGGGCCGCGAGAACAAAGATGCGCCCGCCGCCAGCCACCCGGGCGCTGCGCCCTCCCCATTGTCCCGGGCCGGAGCGGGGCGCGGGGGGGCGGAGGGGGGTCCTGCCTCGCTCGCCCCGGCCGCCAGGGTCGCACCCCGGGTCCCGGGCAGGGTGGAGGGGCCTCGCCGCCGAGCCGTCGCCTTACCGGAGGGTCGGGGGCCGGCCGCGGCCGCGGCTCTCCGGGGACGGGGTTTGTTTACTCGCGCACGCCGGAGCCCCGGAGCACACCGGGCCGCGGGCACCCCGCCCGGCCGCCCCTCCTATGCCCGGAAAGGAACTGATGCAATAACGCTCCCCGATTGTCAAACGCTCCGGGCCGCCTTCCCCACCCCAGGGCCCCGCGATGGCCGCAGCACTGAGCCCCCCGCCGCCACTCCCGGGGTTCCTGGACTCCACGTTATTTTTACGAATGCAAATCGAGTCACAAGACGAGGCTTGCCGCAGCCCAGCGCCGGCCGGAGCGCGCGGCTCCCCTCCCCCTAACGGGAGGATGCGCCCTGCCCTGCCCTGCCCAGCCCGGCGGCCCGGGGCCTCGGAGGACCGAGCGGGAGGACTCGGCCCTTCTCGGCCTTCTTCGGCCCTCAGCGCCCCCCGCGCTCACCTCGGCGCTTCTGCTCCGGGGCCCGCTCTGCAAACCACGGCGTCTCCGGCGGGCTGTGTCCGTCGGTCAGAACTCGTAGTAATAATAATAAGTAAAGAAACAAAGTGTCTCCCAGACCCCACGGGCAGGAAGGGCAGCGCTAACCGGGGAGACGGGCCGCGGGGGAAAAACGGCTCTGCGGCGGGCGGCGTGGCACGGTGTGGAGCGGCCCCGGGAGCGCGGGTTATAGCGGCTCGGCCGGCGCGTCAGGGGGCGGGGCGCGGCCGGGGGCTCGGCTTTGTGTATGCACAGCACCTGGGCTCCGCCCCCGGCCCGCC